TTACTCAACCTTGGGTTCCCTATCACCAGCTTCCTTGTCCCCTTCTGCCTTCTGGCCCTTGTCACTGGACTCCTGTACCTTGTTAGTCTCATTTGGAAAAACCAATTCTTTTTTCTCTCTCCTCTATAAACCCTGTGATCTAGAAAAAAGGAGCTCTAGGGTTAAAAAAAAAAAAAAAAGGCCTTAATACTAGATAGCTGAGTGACTCAAGTCACAAAATCATAAAATTCCTTACCCTGAGTTTCTGCGAGATAAAAAACAGGGTAATACCAACTTCCTAAAAGGAATTAACCACAAAGGCAAAAACTGACCTACAAGGTAACAAACACATCAGCACTAGCATTACCCTGTAAGACAACTGCGGAAGAAAGAGAACTGGATTTACCAGTGAGGACCTGTATACTCCAATTCGGCTCCGTTCCTCATTATGAGACCCTGGGTAAATCACTCTCTACGCCCACCTCCTTCTATGGGGAAAAGGAGAAAATAAGTGCGATCATGAATACAAAGCCACTTGTAAACTGGCAAGTATTATACAAGTGGAAAAATACTAGTGGCAGTAGCATAAACTAATTTTCTGTGGTAAATTGAGAAATTAGAGAGTGTAAACACAAATAATTTAGGGCATTTACATGGAAACAGAGTAAATATGGAGGAAAACACCTCTTAATCTGCTTTCAATCTCAACTAGATCCTTCTTTCCCCCACAGGTCCAGAAACGAGAACGAGCAGTAAGGGGAGCATCCAGCTTTTCCAGAGACCACCAGACATCTGAGCTCTTGAGGGCAGCAGGAACTTCTCTAAAGCATGACTCAGGATTATCTCCACAGTAAGGCCAGATGGAAATAAACATGTGTATTCCAATTTAAATAAACCCCAAATATCAAAATCCAAAAGACACATGAGAGAGATTCAGACAAGGATTCACCCTAGGAGTTTGTTCAGTAGTGATGCTTCGGTTAAAATGTAAATTTATGAAAATTCCAATCATACACAATTGAGGAATGCTACCTAGGGCCATCGTGACCACTCAGTCCTCAGTATCTATCGGATTACACAAACTAAAGTATTGGTGCCGGCTGATGTTTTCAACCAAAGAGCAAGTTCCCCCAATCTGCCAACCCCGACCTTTCTACACGTTCGTTCATCTGGAAACGTCTCAATCTTGGGCTCAGGTCTGTGTTGAAATGCTATCCCTAACTTCTTTCCTATCACAGGATCATCCGTGTCCTGCGTTTGTGACAGCAGAAATGAACATGTCGGGGTGGGGGGGGAATGGGAATCGCTGGGTTAACCCAGACGTTCTTAGTCAAACCAGGTCATCCCAAACCTCTTCTATCACGAAGTCCTCAAACTGTGTTCTAGAGGTGGTATACTTGAACCGAAACATAACTTCAGCGGAATATCCAAATAGGATCTGTCACGCTTCGTTCTCCCAGTCCTACCCTAGCCCCAGCCCCGCTACCATCAGCCGGGCAGGTGCTTCGGGGGCTCCCGATTACCACGGCCATTTGTCACCTGTGACATCAAGCATTTCAAGATGCCAGACCCGCAAATCTGGGCACAGAGGGCTCAGCTGCACACCTGGGTGTCTCTTCGGGGCAGAAAATTCCCGAAGGCAGGGCTCGTACGCCTTAAACTGGGGCAAGCGCCGGCTAATAAGCCACCTCCCCTCAAACCAATCATCCCCGAGCAAACCCGCGGTGCCCCCGCCGCCCCGCAGGCGAAGCCCCCCATCCGACCCCGGCCCCGACGCGGAACGGGCGATGTTCCGGGCCAGGCGGGGGGCGCACA